GGACCCTCGGGCACAGAGGGACGGGGGCTGCAGGGACCCCCAAAAAGGAAGCAGGCGGCGCCCGTACCGCAGGCGGCGAACTTGAGGGAGAGGACGCAGCTCTCGTGGAGGTGCAGCTGGTATTTGTCGGGCTTGGTGACGTGCAGGATCTCCACGTTGCTGCTCTCCATGCCCACCGCCAGCCACTCGCCCGTCGGGCAGTGCCCCAGGGAGAAGATCTGGGGGCAGGCAGGGGGAGGGCAGGGCTCGGATAGCGGGGGGGGCTGGCACCCATCGGGGGCACCCGGCGCCTACCTGCGAGCTGAAGTCGTGCTGCTGCAGCTGCCGCCCCTCCCGCAGGTCCCAGCAGCGCACCGTGTTGTCCAACCCCCCCGTCCACAGCTTGGTGCCGTAGTTGGAGATGTCGATGCAGCTGGCCCCGTCCGTGTGGCCTTGGAACTGCCTGCGGAGAGGAGGTTGGGGGAGGATGCAGAGAGAGCGCGCGGCCATCAGGGCTGCCCGTTCCCAAGGAGCACCTCCAGCACCTCCCCCTCCCCACGCCGCTGTTCCCCTCGCTGCTCACCTCACCATGGTCTGGTTCTGCAGGTCCCACACCACGATGTTGCCGTCGCTGCAGCAGGAGAAGCAGACTTTGGCGTCGGGGCTGATGGCCAGGGCGTAGCAGGCAGGGGCGGAGGAGGTGAGCTCGGCCTTGATGCGGGGCGTGGGGGCCGCCAGGTCCCAGATGGACAGGGTGCTGGCCTCCCCCCCCACGATCAGGCTGCGGCCGTCGGGGAGCAGCTTGCAGGAGCGGATGTAGTTGTCGCGGTTCTGCGGCGCGGGGAGGGGAGCAGAGGGGGGAGCGCCCGTCAGCCCCTTCCCCGGCAGCCCTCAGCCCCTCCACGACAGCAGAGCGGGACGGGGCGGCGCACGGCCCCCGAGCGGGGAGCCCCGCGTTTGGACGGCGCGGCGTGGGGCGGCAGGGACGTCCCCGACCCCATCCCCGCGCCACCCCTTCCGGACCCCCGCGCTCTCCTCCGCCCGTTCGTCCCCGGCCCCCCGCGGCCCCCCGGCACGCAGCCCCTTCCCGCCCCGCGTACCAAGCAGTCCAGCTGGGCCACGGCCGTCTTGGCGCCCGGCTGCCCCACGTCCCACACCTTGACGCAGCCTTTGCCCCCGGTGTAGACGTGGCGCGTGGAGTTGCTGATGGTGACGGCGCAGACCACCTCGCCGTGGGCCAGGCTGTGCAGCTGCCGCGCGTGCCGGGGGATGCCGGAGCCCAGGAGGGCGTCGGGGGGGAACGGCACCGGCTGCATCTGCCCGTCGGCGCTGACGTGGAAGGAGTAGGCGCTGGGAAAGGGGACGGAGCGGTGACGGAGCCGCGCGGTGCCACGGCGGGGCCAGAGAGGAGCGGCGATGGGGACGG